ATTACACACGCAATGCAACAGTGGATGTCTATTGGTGTGTTCAAGTCATCTCGTATAGATCATTTACGAGTTGAATGCACTTGAACGCCACCACAATGTCGCAAATACCAGTGGGGAGCTCGGGATTTTGTAAGCCTGGATCTTTCTGAGTTGTGGGCGTGTCACTGAGAAACATGGCGGAATACCACAAAACTTTAATATTATGCAGTGACAAGAGTTTAAGATCCTTACAGTATTTTTGTGTAATTAACAGTGTTGTAGTACTCGAGACTCGGACTCGTCTCGGACTCGGTCTCGAGACCATATTTTAATGGTCTTGGTCTCGTCATGGACTCGTGTCCCATTTGGACTCGGAATTGATCGTACTCGAACATTTTTTTTTTTAGGACTCGAATTATTCCCGAGTCCACTCGAGTTCAATTAAAAATATTTTTCCATGATTATTAATGTATGTTAATAAAATATTTCTTCAAATTGATTGACACGCCCAGTGATTGGTGATTTTCTAGTGCGCAACTGCGCATGACAAATTGTAATAAAATTACTTTTAACACCACCTACTATGTGGCCTTTTTACCCTAAACTGATCATATTTTTTAAAACTAAGTAAATTCAGTAAAAAAAAAAAAAAAGGATTTCTCTAAGTAAATAAAAGTAAATTAGGTAATCAACCCTCACTGGTCTCGGTCTCGACTCGGACTCGACCGTCTCTGGTCTCGGACTCGACTCTCTATGGACTCGGTCTTGACTCGGACTCGACTCTCTCTGGTCTCGGTGTCGACTCGGACTCGAGTGAGGTGGTCTCGACTACAACACTGGTAATTAATTAAGAGACAGTACTCCGCCATCTTCCTCCGACGAAAGTGACTTGAACACACTGCCGTCGTAAACACGACTTCCCACCTCGTACGTACGAACTTTCCCAGGAGGACTTGAACGCACCATATTTATCGTAGCAACTGCAATAAAACAGTGCTTCACGGAAAATACAGTGATAATGAACAACAACAAGGAAGCACAAAAAAAATAAATAAAAAAAATAATACATCACAATACGTAAGTTGTTAGTTGCCAACAGTACAGCAGCTCCAGACAATGATACTCAAAACCAGTTACTCACATATGTTGCAGAAACAAAGCAACCTCCACATCTGTTTTCAGGCCTTCGATACTGCGTTCTCTCTAGCGCTGGAAAGCTTTCTTAATGTGAGCCCTACAGCTCTTTCCTAATCAAAACCTTAATTTTCCAGTGATATGAGCTTTTTCTGTTTTGTAATGTCTCTCTCAGCCATCTCTCTTTCTGCAGCGTTTCTTCAAATCTCCTTCTTGATAGTTCTCTCTCCTCCACAATCATATGCACCCTACTGATTGGCTACATGTAGCTGTGTGGGTTCGACCAACTTTCAAACAGCGTTTTTCAAAGATCGCTTACCCCACCTTTAATTCACTAGGCTACCCTCATCTCACTGATGTGAGGGTATATAGACGGGTATGTAAAATATATAAGTGGCCCTTCAAGCACTGGTCATCACACCAAACAAGTAAACAGTGTTGGGTAAGTTAGCCTACTCTAAAAAAAGTAATTGAATCTGTTTTAATTCTTTCAAATAAATACTATAATTGCATGAATTATCCTTAAACTGACCAAGGTGGAGAAGGTTACATTATAAAAAAAAAACTTTTTAAAATCAGACAATACATTTTGATGTTAAACCCACTATTGTTTTGTGTCTGATCTCATGACATTTCACACTTTTTTCATACATATTTTTTAATAATTCATACGAATTTGTACGAGTGCGGTCGGACAATTTAGACACCTCATAAAATGCATACAAATCGCTGTGAGATCGGATTGATCTCAGTATTTACCTCAATTGCATCAGAAGTAACTGTAATTAAATTACAGATAAATGAAGAGTAGCTAGTGATGAAGAGTAGAGTAGATGAAGAGTAGAGTATCCCTTACTTTACATTTTCAAGGGAAAAGTAATCAAAATTACAGTAACTAATTACTTAGTAATTAGTTACACTCAACACAGCAAGTAAACTCTCACACCCAAACAAGCAAAATCTTCTCACAAGTTCACTTTAACAGCTTCTTTTACTTTCACACTCTCAAAACTATTCTAACTAGGCATTTTAGGGAAAATGTCATCACGAGTATTCGTAAGCCTAATTATAATAATAATAATAATAAAACGTGTAAATAATAATTTTAAAAATGCTTTAGCCATAAATATGTTTTTTTCTTCATTTTTCAGACATTCAGACATTGATGTCTAAAGCCAAATACATTAACGCTCTACATCCACGTTTTTATTTGCTGTTTTAATTGAAGCAACAAAAGTATCTCTAAGAACAGTCAACAGACACAAAACACGTGTCTGTCTAACGAAGCGTCCCAATTATTTGCATGCGTAAACCCGCCCCGAACAAAGCGCGCAATACGATTGGTCCACTGATGCAGCGTGAGTGGTTACATCGGTGAGGTCAAAGGACGACGTCCAGAAGTAACCCCCTCTCGCATCACACCACCGTGATGCTGCTGTCAAAGAGGCTGGAACTACACAGCCTGTACCATTATGCTGCTATATAGCCTATTAGCCATCACCAGAGAGGAGATGGCCTTCCATTAAGAGGAGGGAATTCATTCAATCGATATTCTAACGTCCGTTTACACGCACCAGAATTGCTTGCAGACTCTTGTCTCACGGTGAGTACATAAGGCTAAGCTTATTACTGGGAGCGAGTGCCTGGTAACTAGTGCTGTACATGACACTGCTCATACTAGATGGATTTATAAAAAATCAACAGCGACTTTGGCTGGCGAACCTACGCAGATCAGAAGGCAGGAGTGTTTGTGATGGTATGCTGATTTAGCATCTGTGCTAGGTTCAACAGATACTGCATCAGTATATAACTTAAGTTGAGACAGGCAATTCAGATTTTTGAAGGATGGCAATATTATGACTATCATACTGATTAAAGGCAACTGGTTATGGGCCACGAGTGCAAATGAGCTCTAATGTAAGTGTTAGATAGTTAAAAGGGAGTGTTAGACATTAGGGTCCGCGATGCTCTGAGACTCGTTCGTCAGGTTCATCAGGCTGGATGAGGTAATATTTCTTTTCACATGTCTGTCCTCCAGTTAAGTTAAAACAAGCTAACGTACAGTAATCAGACAGGTTCTCATGGAGTCAAACGTAAAATGGGTAACGCACAATAACGCTACTGTTACAGTACTTGTGAAATTTAGGGAGCCGACGATAACACCATGGTGCTTTGGTTGCCATGTTATTTCTAATGACATAGTACGAGACCTAAAACATAACAATATGATACTATGTCCACAGAGCATCACTTACAAATAAGTACCAAACATATCATTATTTGGAGGAAGTAGATCATACATACTACTTGGAGGAAGTACATCATTTTACCTGTACTATTTTACAACCTTCTATGTAAATATTGTGATGCTGTGTAGTACTAATCATGGTTTTGTAGTGTCAATGTTGTTAAGTAAAACTATTAAAATTTACATTAATTGAGATAAAGTAAAATATAAATATTAAATGGACAACTTAAAAATGTCGCCTTGGCGAAAAGCTGAGATAAAGTTCCAGGGTTTAAAAAAAAATGCTTATAAAAGAAGCATTTATTAGTCTGACATCTACTAATACATGATTAAAATGAAAAGTTATCTGTTAAGATTATTTAATGGACCTGAGCTTATGAACGAACAATTAACAGTTGTATTTATATTATCTAATGTTAACAAAGACTTTTAAAACACTGTAAGAAATGTATTGCTGATTGTTAATGTTTGTTAATGCATTAGCAGATTAGCTAATGTTAACTATTATGACCTTATTGTAAAGTCTTACAGAAATATAAAAAAATGACAAAAGCTCTTAACATACTTACAAAAACTGAAACAAATAAAATATAAAATAAGTTAATTCAACTAATAATAAATACTATAATAGTACACATGCGACTTCAATTACAATGGTCTAGTGCCATGGTATTATTTATAGGACTGTCTTATATTACTGCTGCACTTGTTTCTTTTCTAGTAAAGCATGACTTGGATAGTGACTGTTGCACATATTTCATGAATGTAAAAGCAAGTTCCAACATGCATTTCTTGAATGTTCCTTGTTGAATCAAGAGAATACATGGTCACCTATTTGTCAGTCATATCTTGTATTTAATAACTCACAATGCCACTTCAATGACCAAAAATGATAATCAAAAATAATGAATATTGTAATCATTCATTTCCGATACATATAAAAATACCATATTACCATGTGATACCAGTACATTCAGTAAGACCTGATCTGTCATAGTGAGTTTGCTTTTATTAAACTTGATATGAATTGGAAATCTGAATCTGAAAATCTATTTTCGAAAAGCATTGTATTATGCATTGTATTGTTTAAGTTAAGAACATTTTTGCGCTTGTAATTTTTTAAAATGAAAAAATCAGGGTGAAAATTTGACTTCTCCAATCATTTAGTTTAAAAAAAAAAAAAAAAAAAACATCGGCTTTTCTTACAATCGATGGAGTCCTCCGCCCCAAACTAAGTCCCGACCCTACTTTTTTTCTTTCTTTTTTTTGATAATCTGTTTCAGTAAGCTGTATGTCAAAATATGTAAGAAAAAAATGTGTTGCTACCAGTAATTAGCCTCATTACTATCTAGATATTAATAGCATATTCAACAGTGATTACAGTACTAATTACTCTCTCTAAAAAAGTGTTGAATAACTTATTGCTAATTATTTTCTAAATCCCATATCAACCAAAGCAAGAATAGACATGAAAATGCTCTTTCAATTAAATAATATAAAATTCCATGAACTATTTTTGAACTCACAAAAGTATTTTAAATGGAGAATATTATTAAAAAAAAATACATACACTTTAACATAAGATGTTAAATCCAATATTGTTTATAGAATTGTTCTTAAGTATGTAATGCAATTACATCAGAAATAACTAATTTAATTAAGTGTAATATAAGAGTAATCCCTTACTTGAGTTTTTCAATTATAGTAATTAATTACTTTGTAAAGAGTTAGTCCAAATACTAATTGTTGCTTTTTTCTTTCTTTTTTTTTTTACATTGCGACTATGCAAGATACACATTTGCATCACATTATCCTTGTTTTTTTTGTCATATGTTCATTGGAAAAAATATGTTTATTTAAGAAATCAGTAGTGACATTTGCATGGTTTTAAAGACTTGAATGCTAACAAATGGATCTTTTTCTCCCTCCCATAGTGCTTGCAGCCTGTCAGCGTGGCCTACCCATGGCAGAGCAGGACTCCACCGAGAAGAAGCTTCCAGCTGTGGCTGCACTGCACACTCACTTCATTGTGGGCTCTGTGTCCGAGGATAACTCCGAGGATGAGACCGCAGGGAAGCTGGACCTGCAGATGGAGGACAATCCACGCTCCCTTTTCCCCTCCTCCGTCAGCTCAGACAGCACTTATGAGATGGGCTTTGACAGCCTGGACGGGGCCTTGCTCAATATAAGGTCAGAGATGCCTTGTGCTCTTCGTTTGCAGTTATTGTGACATGGATGTCCACTTTCACCATGTCTGTATCACGCTTTCTGTATCTGGTGCTTGAGATCTGATAAGACTAGTACTGGTTGTCTCAATAAGTGATTACATTTGTTAGCTTATGTGTGACGGAGGCGTTGTGCAAAGTGGTGGCTTGAGTACTATGTCCATCAAGGTTCATTTGGGTTCATCTCTTTGCTGTGTGAAAATGTGCACAAGCGCCTCTCTGTGTTTGGTTAACTTCGGTTGCAGTGCCAGGCGTGGCAGTGTTTTGCATCTCTATGCCCACTCGGGTCTCTCACAGACATGTCATTATGGGCGGTGTTGTGTGTGTGTGTGTGATGCTTCAGGAATACTGTTTTATGCATTCTGCACTGCAGTAGTGGTAGTTTAATGGACTGTTGGCATTCTTGGCAAAACAATTCTTTTATGTAATTTTTCTTTTTTACGTTTTATGAGGTCATTTTAATGGCTAATAATACTAATGTTTTAATTTAATTAATTGAAATATATTTTCAGTGTAATCTAATCATATTTGACATAAAATCCTAATTTTGGTGTGTGATTTTTGAGAGAGATTTTAGTTATTTTAGTATTTTAAAGGTTCCGTTCTTCATGTGTTTTGGAAGCTTTGATTGTGTTTACAGTGTGCAATATAACATGTGTTCGTGTTTCGAGTGTAAATAACTCAACACTCAATTTACTTATCCGCATACCGCTGTTTTTACGGTCCAAAAAAACGGGCTGATAATTATTATAATCACACCTGTGTTTAATGGGATAATAATTATTATAATCACACCTGTGTTGTGATTGGACAGCAGCTTATCGCACGTTGCCCTGAAAGATATTGTAAAAATGTCAAACATGTTACCTTATCAGTTTGAGCCTGAATCAGATCTGGAGAACATAGATGAAAAAAATCGATTAGAACCGGTTCAAACATGACTTTTGCAGGATGTTCCACAGCTGTTTATTTAGTAGTTGTCATACTTTTAAATTAAATGGTTAAATTGTAATGTTAAAAGTTACAAACTGTTCTAAAAGCTTGTGGTATATGTGGTATACAAAAATCATTTTTTGTTGTGTGTAGTTGTTTTGAAATTGTTTTCATCCAAACAACTTTATATAAATATAATTCATTATTTTCAACATGAATATAGCCTTACAAGCTGCCATGTTGTGTAAAGGAAATCGTTGCCATGCATTACAATAATTTATTTACTAAAAGTTGATTGTTACGTAACTGCACAATAAATTATTACTGCCTCACATCAATGTATAGGTTTGTCGATAGATTATCAGAGACATTTGATTGATATAAAACTGCCCATTAAACCACAAAGCCATGGGTCTTTGCCACTTTGGTCGAAAGTCACTTTCTTTTATTATTATTCTATTTGTGTTTTATTGCTGCTATGAAAAATAATTTAACTTGTCTACTGCCAGCTTTAGTTTGGGGCAGTGTTTCCCAACCCTGTTCCTGGCAGCACACCAACACTGCGCGTATTCTTAAACACACCTGATTCAACTCATCAGCTCATTAAAGGGTTAGTTCACCCAAAAATTCTGTCAGTATTTACTCACCCTCATGTTGTTCCAACCCCGTAAGACCTTCGTTCATCTTCGGAACACAAATTAAGATTTTTAAGATTTTAAGATCGCTCCTGCATACTAGTCCATAGGCTTCTTGAGGGAATGACTTGCTGGCATCGAAAAGTCATTGAAGACATCGTTAAAATAGTCCAAGTGACTACAGGGGCTCAATCTTAAGTTTATCAAACGACGAGAACACTTTTGTGCGCAAAAAAACAACAAAAATAACGACTTTTTTCAACTATTCGTTTATTTCTCCCTCTGCGCGAGTCAGGTTACTAGTTTAATAGCATAAGCTTCTGTTATTGTACGTCACACGCATCACACACATGACCAGCGTCGGGCCAGTAGTGAGCCTACGTGCGACGTTGCTTTACGCAATCACACTACGTTAACTGACTACAGGCCCATGGAGAAGGAAGTGAATAGTTGAAATAAAGTCGTTATTTTTGTTTGTTTTTGCGCACAAAAAGTATTCTCGTCGTTTGATAAAGTTAAAATTGAGCCACTGTAGTCACTTGGACTATTTTAATGATGTCTTTAATGACTTGTCGATGCCAGCAAGAGTCATTCCCTTAAGAAGCATATGGACTAGTATGCAGGAGCGATCTTAATATCTTAAATATCTTAATTTGTGTTCCGAAGATGAATGAAGGTCTTACGGGGTTGGAACAACATGAGGGTGAGTAAATACTAACAGAATTTTCATTTTTAGGTGAACTAACCCTTTAACCCATCTGATTATGAGCTGATGAGTTGAATCAGGTGTGTTTGATAAGGGAGACAAAGAATACGCGCAGTGTTGGTGTGCCGCCAGGAACAGTGTTGGGAAACACTGGTTTGGGGAACATGTTTCTACCTTTGACACTGAACCACTTGCAGACACTTCTGGCAAATCTGCTGTTTCTATGCACCTTTGTAAACAAACATAATTTATTTAGTGAAATAATAAACTCATACTGCTCCTCATAGTGTATTTTTGTGTTTTCTGATTTTATCTACTGGTGAATAAATTACGATAATAATACGTCATGCCACAGTGTTCAAAGAAGTGTTATCGGACACGGGTGGCGGTGCTGCTGAAACTGCCTGAGTGTGTTAATACTAGGGCTGTCAACGAATATTCTAAATTCGAATATATATTCGAATAGTTTTAAAAAACAGAAATTCGAAGGTGAAAATTAATATTCGAATTAAAAAAAAAAAAAAAAAAACGCCCGCGCAAGCAAAGGCGCGGCTGTCTGTTTTGAGAGTGGCCGTGCACGCTGCCTGATTAGGGTTCAGAGACAGGTGTCGCACTGGCACAGCGTCACTCACTGCAGAAAGTGCAGAGCCCAACTCGACCGCAGCAGAGAAAGTGATTTTAACCCCCCAAAATGAGTGAGGCCGCTGCCGGACAGACACGTGATCGGCAGCCCGCTGAGAAAACTGCGTTATCTGCTATGGTCTCTTCGGAGACACGTATTGCGCGGACAACCCAGACCAGGACATCAATTTGCTGCTTCAAAAAGAGATGTTAATGTATGAACAAGAGTCTCCAGTACCTGCTCAACAAAATCCTCTCATGTGGTGGAAAACTTTGGGCTCTGGGAGATAGTCTACCCTCACATCGCCCAGATGGCAAAGAAATATCTTTCCATCCCCGGATCCTCAGTGCGCTCCGAACGCGTTTTTTCCTCCGCTGGGAATATAGTAAATAATAAGAAATCAGCACTGGCCCCTTCAAATGTGGACTGTCTTGTGTTTTTGGCAAATAACCTGTAGATCCGACGGTGACAGTGCGCACTAAAAAGACAACGGAATAAATTGCCGTCAGTTTTTTTTTCTTCCTTTTTTTTTATTCAAGCACCAAGAATGTAAGTAGCCTTTTTCGTTTTTAATAGTTCTTTATTTTTTTATGAACCTCAGGGTAAAGGCGTTGTCACATTTCTCGGAATTGTGTGCCTCATTTTATTTAACTTTAAACAGAAACAGCCTGTAGGCTAACTAATTAGATAGGCCTATTGCGTTGGAGCGTGAGGTTTGCAGTCTTGCCCATTACTTTGTTGTACTTTTTTGTGTAGGTAATACGTTATTAAATATGTTTAAAATTAAATAAAGTACCTATACAAGTAGTTATGCCTCTTTGTATTAATTCGTCCTGTTAATGACATAATGCGCGTCACTGAAAAAATGCGCAACCAGATATTCGAATAGTTCGAATATTCGCATGTTTTTTTCGAGGGAATATTCGAACGTAATTTTTGAGCAATTTTGACAGCCCTAGTTAATACACCCCTCCTCCTCAAATCACACTGCTATTGGTCAAGGGGAGGTGCTGTGGTGGGCATCTGCAAATTAAAGATCAAGTTCACTTAAAAAAAAAAAAAAAAATCCTGTCATCATATGCTCACACTGAAGTTGTTTCAAACCTGTATGAATTTCTTTCTTCTGCTGAACACAAAGGAAGATGTTTTGAAGAATTTCGGAAACCAGACAGTCGATGGGCTCCATTGGCCTCCATAGTAGGGAAAAAAAATACTATGGAAGTCAGTGGGGTCCATCAACTCTTTGGTTACCGACATGGTTAGAGACGTTCCAGTCCTTCCCCCTTAACCCCCAGAGACCGACGGTGCCACACGGAACCTCTGATAAATATTTATGTTATTCGATGACAGATTTATTCATTTTTCTTACCGTTTTTTCCAGCAGAAAGCTAACGAGCTAGCCATCACGGGGGTGTCTTTCTAACCTTTACAGAAGGTTTTCTATCCAGCCTGGAACTTGTGCATCATTTCGAGTTTTTCAGCAATAAATCCAAATACTTAAATCCAAGTTTGGTCCACTTGATGTCCATAATTTATAAATTTTCCGTCATTTTTGCCGCTAGCTCGATGCTAGCTGCCATTTTGGATATCTGATGGTTGTTGACCAATTACAGGCTGATCCGTCGTCAACATTGGTGTGCGTCATTAAGCATTAACCAAGCTCTGATATAGTGGAGAGAGAGAGAGACGCGCGTTTCACTGAGAAACACTGAGAAAAATGGATGTAAATTGAGCGCTGGCCTTTTTTGATGGCATGCAGGATGATGGATTTTCAGGAGAACAGAGCTTTTTGACAGGACTACCAGGATAGACCCAGCTGAAGTGCCATTTATTTTTTTACTGTAAAAAAGTATTATAGTAGTAATGTAGTGCAAAAGTGTAAAAAGAATATAATAAATAAAAGAATAAATAAAATAGAAATGCAAAGCCTGTGATGTGGCCCTCTGTGTGATTGCTGATAGGAACTGTTTTGAGGCTTGGCACCAGTGAATTTCATGAGGCCCAAAACGCCTGGACTTCTTTTGGAAAAATGAAAATAGTTTTGGTTCTGTACAAGTTATAATGCTTAT